GTCAAGAATTTTTCGATTCAAAGCCGAAGGAGTGGTACTTTGACCAAATCCGAAAGCTTGCAGATCGTTGGCAGAAGGTCGTGGACAATGATGGTCTTTATTTTGAAGAATAGTTGTTGTTGTTTTTGAATAAATTCTTGCATAAAAAATCATTATTTTAACACGGCGCACGAACTTTTTCCTCAACCTAGTAATGCTACAGGGTGACCCAAAAGTCGGTTTACCGAAAAAGAAATTGAATATTTCCATTACGGCTCTAGCAAACGAGCTAATTTTTTTTATCAGTGGTCGAGGCATGTTCAAGCTTTATATCCATAAAGATATGCCTAGAGGGATTCTTTATTAAGTGCCACTATTGACCTCAACAAAAAAAAATTTACTTTTTTACATGTAGGAAACAAAACAATATACTTAACAAAGGGTCTCTCTAGGCATGTCTTTATGGGTATAAAGCTTAGACATGCTTCTATCATTGATAAAAAAATCAGCTCGTTTGCTCGAGCCGTAATGGAAATATTCAATTTTTTTTTCGGTAAACCGACTTTTGGGTCACCCTGTATATTACTAGAGATTCTCAATAATAGTCCTTTCAAAGAGCATAATTACAGAGACCGTAGTAGTTATAATAAGTGAATTATAGTTTAATAAATAATGAATGAACTTGTCTAATTTTTGCTGATATTTGATTTTAATTAATAAACAATGGAAAAGTCTCAGTTAGAATGTCGTAATTTATTTCTCAACAATCTAAAATCAGATTGACTTCGATATTTATTGTTTAAAAGAACAAAAAGCGACTATAAGGTTTTGACTACAGAGCGTGATAAGTGTAAGCTTGTAGAGTAAGACTTCCTCTATCAAATGGTGCGTGTATTATCAACTTCTATGACGTACTGTTGACATATCGATAGATGGCGTCACCTCCGATGCTTTCTGCAGTGGCTGAAACGAAGGTGGCGCCTTCTATCGACATGTTAACTGTAAGCAATAGAACTTGATAATGCATGCATCATTGGATAGAGGAAGTGTTTCTTTACAAGCCTACACATATCCTGCTCTGTAGTCAAAAATGACTGTGAAACTTATATTCGCCTTTGGAGAGTTTTAACATAAAAATAGAAAATAAAACGATTTTTGGGAATGCTCTTCTTTTAATATTATTTCCATTCTCGATAGCCGCAAAAAGCCGAACGGGAAAAAATCGTTCCTGCACCACACCATTCTCATCCTCTTCCTCCTCTCTCCAAAAAAACATCGACCTTTATAAAAAAAAAAAAACCCAACAAAACACGATTTGATATAAATATATAAGCATGATCCCTAAAGTGTTTAGTTTGAAAATTCGTCAAAAATGACTTCTAATATTAAAAGATTTCTTCAGAATCAAACTCTCAAGCAAAAACACTAATAGTTAAATCCATAGGAAAATTAGAAGCGCGATCGAAATTATCGCCCTCCCTCCCTCTCCGCTATCATAGACCAACGTATAGGTAGAAGGCCACTGGATATGATTGAAGATGAATTTTTAATAGTACATTATATAATCATATTTAATGTTGATGTCAGAAAGTTCTTCATGTAAATATACAAAAAATGTTCACGAGTTTTCCGAACTTTTTTTTTGTTCCATACAGTTCATTCTAGTGAACTACGGATTTTTTTCTTTTTTTTTTTAAATCGACACATAGATGCATTTTATTTCAGATGATGGAAAAGACTTTCGTACTCGACCCTTAATATCAAAGTAATCATAGACTTTCTAGGAAAAATCTGCCTAAGATTTTTAAAGTTTTGAGATTTCGAGCATCCCAAAAAGAACTTGAAAAAAATATTAAAAATCTTTTGCAACATTTGAAACACTAAGAAGATTCCTTTCAAATGAGAGTAGCCCGAACTATGTAGCTTGAAGAGAACTGAAAAAGAATATCTACACGCCTTATAAAAGGCCTATTTTATACCATAGCTTCTGAACGGTAAAATTTGTAGCTGTGAAATTTTTGTTTTGTTGATGTGTTACTTTTCATTAGCCAAATATCTTTAGAAAGTTTTATGAAAATCCCATTTACCGTATCAAAAGTCGATTTTTGAAGGATGAGATTGGAATGTGTATAATTGTTAGAAGACAATTTATCCATCTGGTTTATTTCTTGAATATTTCAAAGAAGTCAAAAGTTAATTATTAAATACTAGATAATCTATTCTTTGTTGTAATAGTCAAAATGTTTATTTTGCGGGTATTTAATTAATTAATCCTGGTGAATGATTAAAATTAATTACCAAACAATTTCGAGTAACAAGAAACCAAGAATAATTAGATATTTCTAATAGTTTCATTATATCAAAATTATTATATTCTATTCACTATTTGAATAATCACAGAATGCATTGAAATCAATATTAACTGTACTTCGTCATCGACATTATTCCTTAGCTTGAATCAACAGTAAAACAACATAGAATGAACTCACCATATTGTTAGAGACCGAAAATAACTTTCTAATACGATGCACTTGAACGATGAACGTAGTTAGTTGTTCAAGACGACCATCAAGTAAAGAAATACAATCATGAAAATTATACACATTAATTTGTAATAGAGTAATAGTCGAAGAGTAAAAAGTACTTAATGGTAGATCATAAATTGACAAAGGTGGATAATCATTCTCAGATGAGGCAACAATAATTAAATTCTTTAAATTTTGGAAAAAAACCAAAATCGGAGCATACACATTTCTAGTATAAACCCGCGTCAATGTCTTTCTGGTATATTTATCATTATTATGAAGAATAAGGTCTGCTATTTTGTGTTTAAAGATATGTTGAACAGCTGGAGCATCTAAACAACAAAGAAGAAAAAAAAAGATTGTAATTATAAATGGTTTTACAGTTTTTGATATTATGATTAATCAAGAGAATATTAAGTACTTACATGTAAAATAACGGTAAATTATATCTTGTTTAAAATTGAAAAGCTCTAAATAAGTCAATTTTGAATAATCACCAGCAAGAAGAATACGTTCCATAGATATTGTTTCGATAATGAATTTTTTGACAAAGTGACAAATTCGAGGTAATATATAAATACAGAATCGATCAAGCTTTAAATGATCAATTGTTGATGATATTGACACAAGATTGAGAGTGTTAATAAATATATCATCTTGTAGTAAAATATCAAGTCGTTCATTATTAATACCACATAACGAATAAAGAACATCAATATTATCGAGTTTCTTCAAGATAATAAGTAATATTTCATTGGATAGATCAAGAAGATCAATGTTTGAATGATTCATGTTTGATTATGACTGTCACTCTTCGAAAAATAAATATATATACAAATGCTTTTTTTTTTCTTCTGACCTTTTCCGTCAGTGAAGAATAGAATATTGGACAGCGATGTAAGAAAAAAAGAAAAGTGCCCGATGTATTGTCCAATACGATTATCAACAGAAGTAGACGACATCATACCAAGAAAAACAAAGGAAATATGTATATTACACAAAAAGCTGATTGCATTGTATAGATATGCAATACTTTATAAAGAATATATAATTGTTTTATGTGCTTATAGAAAGATATAAATGCAAAGGAGATATTAAAGTAAATTGCATACTTGTTTTTGGTCGAGAAGTCTCTTAAAAAATAAAAAAGAATTCAAGATTTATAATAATTTCCACACAGAAATTGTGATTACTATAGAATATTTGCATTTGAGTATTGGAATTTGTCAAGATACAAATAGATCTCTAACGAAGGAATCGTTCCTAAGTTTGGACTTTGTGCATAAACTAGGTCTCAGTGAAATATGGAAAAACTCTAAAAAGACAAATGTTCTTAGGCCTTCTCCTAAGAGTTATAGCTATTTGATTGGAGTTTAAACTTATAGGATGGGTATACACTAAAAAATTGAGTGATAGTATTCTGAACTGAAACTTTGCTCATAGATAGATCCACTTATAGCTAGAATATAATGAAAGTTGTAGCGCAAAATATTGTTTCCTTCAAGAGATATTAAGTTTCTCACAAAAAAAACAGAAGTTTTTTACATCTATGGTTGGGTATGACCGATTTTTAGAGTTTCAATATCTCGTGAATGAAACAATATTTTACGCTACTATTTTTAGGATATTCTAGTTATAAGTAGGCCTATCTGTGGGCAAAGTTTCAGTTCGAAGTACAGTCATTCATTTTTTAGTGTATACCATCCTATAGGATTAAATTCCAATAAAATTGCTATAACTCTGACGAAAGAGCCTAAGAACACTTGTCATTTTGGGTTTTTTAATACCTCACTGAAGTTTACCTTATGTACAAAGTTCGAACTTAGGAACCATTGATCACTTGGAACTGTTCTCTCATTAGTAGTCGATTAGAGTGTGAGTGTGAGTGTATTCACAACCCAAGCGTAGATCTATATCCTCTTGATTGATAGATTAGAAAAGAAAGAATCTGAAATAGGGGTGTTACTTTAACTTTAAAAACACTTTAAGAAAGTATAAAGTTTAAAGTAATACTTTAAACTTTAACTCTTAAAAGTTTAAAGTGGTACTTTAAACTTTAACTTTTAAAGTTTAAAGTATTACTTTAAATTTTAAAAGTTAAAGTTAAAGTTTAAAGTACGACTTTAAACTTTAACTTTTAAAGTTTAAAGTATCACTTTAAACTTT